ATGTAAGTGACTTCAACATCCTTTTTACTGTTTTTAGGATACTGAAGATAATTCTAAGGAAAATTTTAACCATTATAATTATTTGTTATGTTGCTACTGTTTATAAACATTACTGCAAAATTGAGTTTGCAGAATCGTATGTGTGTTTTTTTAGTATTTCTGGATATTAATAACAATTACAAAAACAAACCAATAAAGTTTCAATTTTGTTAAAATTATTGTTTTTTTATTTGTGTCCAATATCGCGCTAAACGATAGAAAATGGTACGACAAAGTACGTATGGTTTGTAGTATTTAATTTTACGTTTATTTCAACAGTATAAAAATACCTTAAAGAATGCGTGAGAAGTACTGATATAATCATGTAAATTTGTCATGTAATATACTTAAGTTACATAAAAATTATGCACCATCTGTACATGATGCAGTTCGTTTTTCACTTGAGTTAAAAATAAATACTTGGAAATTCTTCCAGAGTAGAAAAAGGGCAGTTCGTACTCCGTAAGTAGTAATCCTAGTTATTTAGGTAACAAGTGCATAAAAGACGATTTCCCGCACTCGTGTGCTCAACTGGCACTCGTTCCTGTCAACTCCGGCCACTCGTGCGAGTCTATCACACGAGTGCGGGAAATCGTCCCGCACGAGTTGCGTACAAGTTTTTACGCAATAAGTGTAAGGAAAATAGGTGTTTTCCGCACTGATATTAGTGTGTAAAACCTGTTTTCCGCACACTACTGCAAAATAGTAGTTTTCCTACGAGTATGATAAGTTTTTGTTTGCGAACCGAGAGGTTTGCGGCCCGAGCCGAAGGCGAGGTCCGTAACGAGGTTCGTAAAGGAGACTTTTTGAACGAGTATCGGAAAACTGCTTTTTTGCCCGAGGAAGTACCAGCCTTCCAAAACCACCCGAGGGTGGAAAAATATATTATGTCGACAAAAACAAAGCGTCATAATGTGTTTTAGTACATTTCTTCGTACACTATTAGAGAAGTACTATTGGATCTTGTTTTTATCCTTGTCTAGTATTTTTTATTATACGTGAGTTTCAATGAGCAAGGTTATTGCTATAACTCAATTTGATTAAAGCATTTATTATATCCAAAACCTAAATACCTTAGAATAATGCCTTTAAAGTAATGTTCTGTAATATTGATTAAATAATACACGTGTATTACGAACTTTGTACATATGCACCTAAAAGTGCATGGGAAAATTTTAGAGAACGAGAGAGAAGACTTCAAATAAGTAAAGAGAACTCAAGAGAACAAGGGATAGTAAGGGAGAATGTGGGAGCGCATGAATGGTAAAGCAAGAGCAACTATAGTTTTTGTTTACCTCCACCACTCCACCTATTTACTCGATAATTGCGCTTAATTTCATAAATACTCTCAGGTTCTCTCTAGTTCTCTTATGTTCTCCAAAGTTTTCTTTGTCTGTCTTGTAAAAGCTCCCGACAACTCCTCAAGTTTTCTTATATACTCTACATTTTTATTTTATATGCTGAGCTAATAAGAGCGTTGAGAGAACTTAGGAGCAGCAAAGAGAATTCAAAATAGTATTTCGGGAGAGTTTACGGGATATTTGAAGTGGGCAGCTCCTCGTCATATCCTGTCATTGACACCAAAAAATCATTTTGGCTTTTAACAGCAGTAACTATGGGCTTGTGGTACGAAAAGTATGAAATGTAAATCAATGATTTGACTTCATCTAAACAACGAGCAAAGATAGCATCGATGATACTTTCACATTTAGTGGTCGATTACAGTAGATTAATAATCATATTTAAGTTTAAATTTTCTTTCAATCATATAATTAATGGTTTTCGTTGTGAGTCTGAAGACAGCCAGCGCTCGAGTCAGCGATTTTTTGCAAGGCTGGCTGGATAGCGGACAACTTCCACAGTTCCAAGTCTCGATAAAATATTCATTACAGTTAATATAATTTCTGTACGGTTGAGCAAGTACTATTAAAAGATGATGTGAACAAACAGCTGGACGTAAAAAAATGTGTGAAGTGATTTTAGTGCATGCGTAACTCACACGCCTGTAACGATTTCGAGAAAAATAGCTCGATACGGCTACCAGAAGAAAACGTGACGTCAAATTTGATATATCTGGCAGTCCCAACAACAGAAAAAGGTTAGTCTGCTCGACTTTGTTATAGGCGTATGAATTATGCACGCACTAAAATCACTTCACACATTTTTTGTAGTCAAGCTGATTATTCACATCATCTTTTAAAAGTGCTTGCTCAACCGTACAGAAATTACATTAACTGTAATGAATATTTTTTCGAGACTTGGCATTGGGGAAGTCTTCCGCTATTCAACTAGCGTTGCAAAAAATTGCCAACTCGAGCGCTGGCTGTCTTTACTAACACAGCGAATAATGGCTTCGGAAAAAAGTTAACATTAAAATCTCTGCTTACCTGCATAAGTGTTGTAGAACCCTCGTATGTATAAATTAATAGTTGTTCGTAAATAAATTCAATTATTTTTCTAACAGAAGTATTGGGTGATATATAAATAGCTACAATAATTATCTCTGTCTCTTTGCACAAGGCATTTACATCGACAAACTTCTCGTATTGTGAAACTCTCATGACCATTAGAACTTATTATACTTGCAAAGCGAAAATTTTTCAACTGTTCAAATTTTTGTACCGTTTGGTCACTTAGTTACATATATTTTTGAATAATTTATTTTTAAAACTTCTACTTGATCTGTTTGATTTTAGAGTTTGTTGAGTCTAATTTCACTTTCAAATTATGGCGCCCGTTCACTAACGTCACTCGATTTATAATAATTTTTTTTATGTTCCATATAAATCACATATCATCTACTAATGATTAAGAAACGATAATATTAGTCATCTTAAGGAAGAAATTTTGGTACATCGTCCCAGATTTAAAATACGGGACCTCCACGTGTCAATCAGATCATCAGTTCACTATACCCCACCACGTCACTCTGTTCTCGTTGCATAAATACAGTATACAAAATACCAACTGCCCCTTTACATTATGTATAGGTGACAGAAAGAGAAAAAGAAAGAGGGAGATCGTACGTCCGCCACTACATGCATTATAATTAGCTGTACTATATATACTACTCCCTATCGAGAGAGCATGTGGTGGTGGGGGGGGGTGGAGTGAACAGGAAAGAAAGGGTCAAGAAAAAGTTTAATGCTTTTCTCTACTTTCGTCCTACATAAGGAGCTTCGCTTCAACAGTAAATTTCTCGTTAAAATACTTGGGATGATGAAACTCTCAAAATGTATAATACTTAGTAGATACTTAAGGTGTGACCAAGCGAGCGTTTCGGATTACTTGACACTAAAATACGTTGTTGAGTTGTGAAATACTTAGTATTGAATTGAAAGGGCACACAAGCAAGTGCTTCAAATTACAGAGGATAAAGCTCTCAAAATGAAAAACAAATAGAAAATAAATAAATTTGAGCGCTTCAAGTTACGGTATTAAGCTTTTAGAATTTAAAATACTTAATAAATACACAAAATCACACTCAAGCGAGTGCTTTCGGTTAATTTCGATTAGGCTCTTGAGTTTTAAAATGTACTTTGTAAATAAATAACAGTGCATACAAACAAGCTCTTAAAAATACTTAAAATGAGGCTCTCGAAATTTAAAATACTTAGCAGATAAATAAAATCCGGATTATTCAGGATTAAAATACGCTTCTAAAATATTACATACTTAGTAAATAAACAAAAGCGCACACAAGCGTTTGCTTTGGATTACTGGTTACTATATGCATGATGTGTTGTTTATTTACTTAATAAAAAACGTGTAAACGAGCGAGCGCATCGGATTACACTGTATTAGCTGCTAAAATTTTGTTTGTTTATTCAATAGACAAAAATGCAGGCGATGGAGCGAACGGGGAGCTAGCAATAAATTGCTTTAAATTTAGATTAGTAAGTATGTATATGTATATATAGATTAGTAAGTATATATGTATTTATATTATAGTGGTTTTCGTTCAGCTCCTATAAATGCACTTAGGGATGAAAGGCCTCTCCTTACTGAGAGGGAAGTAGGGAAAATTAGGCAATTTTGCTGCGAGAAGGTTGTTTTATTTCCCTCCTCGAGGGGCATTGCGTGGTGAAAAAGCACATGTAAAAATTCACAAATCGAACCACGGTCTCCCGCGTGCCGACCCACGACCTAGCCGACTGAGCCACCGCACGCTCAGTAAGTATATTAAAAAATGTGCAGGCCGTACGTATTGGATTACGGGAGTAAGATTTTTACGCACGAACGCGTTTCTGTAGGAATTAATTTATGAAAAAATAAATAAACACCGAATGAAGTTTAAAAAAAACAAAAAGTGACATCGAGGCTTGATAATCTTTGGGTTTAAAACGATGTGTCCATCACACTGAGCTAAGATACGACATGGTCTAGTAAACTGAAAAATTAAATATATTTATAGTATTTACCGTAACTTTACTTTTACTTGTGTATCTTTTTATTGATTAAATTTTAATTTAACATAAGTTGCAATAATTTGAATGTTTTACTTGTCCTTAATACATAAAGAAAAGCCTTGAGATATTGGCATGCAAATACGTCAAGACTCCAGAAATTAACATGTCGAGTTTTTATGTTTTAATTAAGAATAAATCAAGGTATGTGATCGCATTGGGTAATTTGGGAGTAGCTGGGGTCTGATCACGACCCTTCGATACAGCCCGATAGATCGAGAAACTTGCGCCCTAATTGGTTCGTCCAAGTGATCGTCTACTGTCCTCTAGTTTTTTTTAAATAACCCGACCAATCAGAGATCTATATCGAACGGTATCGGGCTGTATCGAAGTCACGGTGTAAGAATAGACAGGTGGGCCGAAGGCCCACCTCCACGTATTGTAGAAAAAGTCACAATTATGTAGCAGTATCTAAGTTTGCCGCTAGGTGGATCAGTGTTGAAAAGGTAGCAGCTAGCAGACGGGCAGACTTACAAACGATTGTATTATTTATTATTGTAGACATATACATGGTACACTGTCCCACACGCAGAATTGATACATTAAATCGTTTTTTGGCTGCTTTTATAAAATGGTCAATAAGTGCTGCATAAAAAAGTGTCGTGTTAAAAAAAACGATAAACTATCTGTTTTTCGAGTACCAAAGAATGAGGCATTATTCAAGAAATGGGTCCATATCCTGTCACTCGTAGATGTAGTTTTGACAAAAAATAGTTTTGTTTGTGAAAACCACTTTGAAAATCATGACTTAATAAAGGAAAAAATAATCACCGACACCAGTGGAAAAGTACTATTTCATGTAAGCTAAGTTGAATAATTCTGTTTTCTAACCTCAAAAATGTCACAATTTGCTTTAAATTTGTGTTATTTACTAATAAACTGTTTTAGACTAATTTGAAGAAGAGACATTTGTCAGAATCGGCTGTACCTACAATCTTTGGCTCTAAAAGAATCAAGATCGATGACACGAGTGGATCTATTGAAGTGTCCACTGAGAATGCAGGTACTGAAAGTTTATCACCCAGCTAAAAATTATTCATCAGAACTGACATAAGAACTTACATAAGAACTTACATAAGAACTTACATTTGCTTTTCAACCAAGAACTGACATAAGAACTTACATAAGTTCTTATGTCAGTTCTCATGTGAAAAAAAAACTTAAAGAAAATTTTCTTTAAAAAATCTAAAAATAAACTTTTATCACGGTATAACCGTCGCATTAGGTGTTATCATCCGTATGATAACACCAAAACTGGGGAGTTCAAGTACTTTAACGGAATTTTTCAAAAAATTAAAATTTTGAAAAATAAAAGAAATTTAGCTAATTTTTTGAAAAATTCAATTAAAGTACTTGAACCCCCCAGTTTTTATGTTATTATATGGATGATAACACTTATCGCAACGGTTATACCGTGATAGAAGTTTATTTTTAGATTTTTTAAAGAAAATTTTCTTTAAGTTTTTTTTTCACATGAGAACTGACATAAGAACTTATGTAAGTTCTTATGTCAGTTCTTGGTTGAAAAGCAAATGTAAGTTCTTATGTAAGTTCTGATGTAAGTTCTTATGTAAGTTCTTATGTAAGTTCTTATGTAAGTTCTTATGTCAGTTCTGATGAATAATTTTTAGCTGGGGCAGTATGCTTAGATTGTATTAAAATGTTTCATGTAAAAGACTTATAGATTTTTTGTTTTTTATATAGATGATACTATTACAGAGGACTGGCCAAAAGAAAACTGCAATAACGTAAATGTTTCAAGTGATGCACAGGAACTCATGTCAAAAAATGAACTGTGCACTGATGTCAAGCAGTATTTCAACAAACACACAAAATCGTCAAATGCGTCAACTCCAAATTATTTACAGGCTAACTCTATTCCGAATGACGTAGAAAACATTCCGGCCACGTGCATTCTAACTGATAGCTTAGAAAAAAATCTCATCAATGATGGTTCAGTATCTTTTGATGCAAATGTGCGCATGCCTAGCTCATTGGAGGATGAACATTTTTTCAATCGCCTTGTATACGAATACCGTAGTATAGAATTTCCTAATACTACATGGAACTACCACATAACTATGTACAATAATGAGATCATTATTTCGAGTGCTGTTTGTTTATTAAACGCAGCTCCCATTTACGATAAACAGGTACGTAAACATTGGCTTTCATGTCCTTGTAGTCATTTTGGCTATATAATATAAATCTGTAATTTATTTCTGCAGATACTCTTGAACAAAAATAAGGAGCTGAAAATTTTTATATTTAATAAACTGGTCGAGACGAACGAACGGTTTCCTACAAATATGCAGGAATTGAACGATCTAATACAAAGAGTGGATACTATTAAAATCTGCTGTGGAGGTCCAGATGTAAATACTTATGGTAACATTAACCCAATGTGCGCGTACAAAGATTTAAAAAATAAGTGGAGGCACCTATCTTGTAAATTGATAATTTGTAAAGGAACCATATGTGAATTTTGTTCTAAGCTTGACAATACTCTTCGAACCCATGAAAGTAGAAAAATTAAAAATTTATACAACCCCCGCTTAACGGTGTCTCCTAGCAAAAAAGCAGCACTTAGTGCACTGAAAAAGGCTGTACGTTTGCAGTCTTGCTATTTAAAAAGATGTAAATTAAAGAAGAATCACCTCAAACGTGAACTTTCTAATATGCAACGTGAAATGCAAAAACTCAAAAGTTGTGAAGTACATGAGCTTTTAAAGAAGTATGATGTTTCTGAACCACAGGTATATATTCCCTAGTGATACTCTTTACATAATTTATTAAGATAAATCTCGTAGTATCTCACCCTTTTTTTTAATAGCAAGAATGAGTATTAGTCGAGGTATAAATTTTTTTTAATTACTCCAACACTATGATTTTTATACAACAGATTATTATTATTTTTAATATTAATGTAATTTTAATCCTCGATGGAAAAAAATTTTTCAACAGCTCTGAGGCTCTGTTTTAAAGTATATTTTTTCAATCCATTTGATGATGTTTAAAAAGATTTATACAAACTTGAAATAAATTCTTAATTTAATTTTAAAAAGTAGTACGATTATTGAACCAGTCAACTTGCTTGTGGCTGACCTGAAATTACTTATTGGAATTTTTTCCAAGATCATAAGTTTGCACATTTGTACAGTTTTAAGAAAAGTTTAACGACAAATTGAGTCTGTGTTAAAGGAGAATTATAATAACTTTGAATACATAAATTTTATTTTTTCGTTCATTTCAGAAACTGCTTATCAATGAATGCATTGTTGCGAGTCAAAAGAAATCACATCAAGGAAAAAAATACAATGATGAGTGGTTGTTATTATGCATTCTTTTACACATTAAAAGCCCCGCAACGTTTAATTTTTTAAGAAAAAACAAAATTTTACCCTTACCATGTCGTAGTACCATTTCGAAGTACATGCATATGATCGATATAAAGTGTGGTTTTGATAAGGACTTTTTTTCTTTATTACAAAAGAAGTTTTCCAAAAGTAGCGAAATGTCCAGACATGGTGTACTAGTATTTGACGAAATACAAGTTCGTAAAAGTCTTGCTGTTAGTGTCAAGAATCTAGATTTTGATGGAACAGATAATTTAGATTCATCGAAACATTCAACAGCTCACCTAGCTGATCATGGATTAGTTTTTATGTTCCAATCCCTTGGAGATAATTATAAACAACCAGTCGGTGTCATAGCTAGTGAAGGTCCTGCTAAAGGCCAACACTTAGCTTTACTAGTAATTCAATGTATAATACACATCGAATCATCTGGAGGGTATGTTGATGGAATAATTTGTGATGGAGCAGCTACAAATCGTAAAATGTGGAAGGAATTAGGTATTACCGGTGAAATGGGAAAAGAAAAATTTTATTTTGATAACCCGTATGATCCAAGCAGAAAAATAAGAGTGTTTTCTGATGCCCCGCATTTAATAAAATGCATTAGAAATAGGTTGATGGGCCAGAAAGAACTGAAGGTGAAAAAAATTATACAATAGTACATTACGTACCTAGGGAGGAAAAGTAAAGAATGATCTAGATCACACGTATATTGCCACCCGAGGCGAAGCCAAGGGTGGCAAACGTGTGTTCTGAGCATTCTTTATTTCCTCCCGTGGTGCGTATACGATTTTTCATCAATCCTGCGCCGGGACAAGGAATTTTCGTTCCACGTAGCGGGACGAAACTACCTTCTTTCGGTGCAGTATGATGAAAAAATTATTACAAATTTTCCTAATGCATACAAATATTTATAATAAAATCACTTTTACAGATGAATGGACAAACGATCAAGTGGCAACATTTTAAGGTTTTATATGATGAGGATAAAAAATCTGATTTAAGAGTGTGTCATAAGCTTACCAAGAACCACATACATGCAAGTAACATGTTGAAGATGAGAGTCTTTTTGGCAGTACAAGTAAGGGCATTTATTTAAATTTTTTGTCACACCTTCAACAATCCCTTTACCAATATGTATCAGTTATATTCCATAATAAATAGAATTCCTTTAGATTTTTAGTAATAGTGTTGCTGCGGGATTAGAATTCTACAAGACAAGGGGCGTACTAGGTTTATCTGACTGCGATGGGACTATTAAGTTCACAAAGAATATAAATATTCTATTTGACGCACTAAATCGAAAATATCCTCGAGAAGGAATTTATCCTGGAAGCAACGATATACGAGTATATTACCACAGCTTTTTATATTTATAATTTTTTTTTGTATTTATACAATATTTAATTAATAATTTGAAAGGTACTGAAGGATTCCTTGGAATGGTTGAATAGGTGGGAACAAGAATTAAAGGAGAAAAAAATTTCCGGTGACCAATTTTTGACGCAAACAACTGCACAGGGTCTACGAGTCACGATTCTTTCTACTTTAGACATGATTGACTACCTCCACAATTTAATGATTGATGGTAAAAAAGTATTTAAATATGTTTTAACAGCAAAACTTAATCAAGATTGTATAGAGGTACATAATTAAGAGTAATCTTTTTTTTTATTTAAATAGTCTTGAAAGTAATAATACTTCCAACTTTTATTTATCTTAGCAATTTTTCGGAATCATACGTCAAGCTGCAGTTCAAAACGATCATCCAACTTTGCCAACATTTTTGCAGTTATATAAAATCTTATCTTTGTACAAAATCCTGAAACCACCTAGATATGGAAATTGTACAGTTCAAAGTGAGATCAAAAAGCCCATTACTTCAGTAACAATGGAAGAAATCAAAAATATTTTTAAAAGTAAAAATCAAAGTTATGTCGACATTCTATTAGAAAAATTACAAAATAAACTGGATGGCCTGATTAGTGAGGATGTGCACGAATATTGTGAAATATTTGATCATAATTATCATAATGCAACAACAAAAAGTTGCGTTATATACTACATTACTGGTTTCGTTTGTAGAAAATTGAGAAAAAAATTTGAAAACTGCACGAACTGTCAAGTTACACTCAATAGTAAACCCACGAATTCGGCTCAATCAGAAGCACTTCTAGTAAATATAAAAAACAGAGAAGGACTTATTCATCCTAATACTCTTTTTTATAATCTCTTTCAGGAAATTGAAAAGTATTTTAGCCAAGCCATTAACGATCAGTTAATCAATGTTTATGAGTATGTTGTTGAAAATCTTTTAAAAAATTATAAGTTTCAGTTCCCGTGCAAACAACATAAAGAAGATGCAATATCTAAATCGATTTACTACTATATCAGTATGCGAATGCATCAATATGCGAATATGCAAAATAGAGATGTTTTAAAACAGAGTCGAGAAAAAAAAAAATCTGCGAAATTAGTTGCTACATAGATTTTTAAAACAGGATCTGAATATTATATAAATTGCACATTTTATTTTGTAAGTTTAATGGAGGCTTGTAAATAAAGTATTTTAATTGACAGACTTAAATTCATGTATAAATGTATTGTATATATGACTGTAATGACTATATATACATATGACATGACGAGTGCCTTTTCTACTCATACGCCATCTAGCGAGTGTAAGTTGTACTGCGACACAACTGCGACTCATTTGAGGTGGGCCTTCGGCCCACCTGTCTATTCTTACACCGTGATCGAAGTATTGCGATCAGAGCCCTGCTTGGAATTTTTAGGCAATAAACAAAAGCATAGACCAGCAAGTGCATTGCGTCATTGATAATTAGTGGTTTTGAATTTAGTATACATAGAAATTACACAAAAGAACAGGTATCAAGCGCATTGAACAATAGAGAACTTGCATGTTCTCCGATTTAATTTTTTTTTCGATAGCTGAAAATGCCCCGAGTAAACTTGCCAGACAATTTTTTTTTTTTTTTAAGGCCTTAAAATACATACAACAATTTATTAAACTTCCTTACTTCATTTAAATCGATGTCACGTGATCATGACGTAGGAACTTCTGAATTACGTAGGTTCTTTCGTTACGTAACGATGATCTTTGAAATCGAATAAACTACTATAGAAAGCAGACACTAGCTGTGTCGTCTGCTTGTTTATCAGGATGATTTGATACAAGGTATAAATGAGGTTATACGTACAACTGTCAGTTAACAAATAATTGGAAAATGAACGAAAAAGAAGTTAATTCTAATTCTGACGGGTACAAGTACTGTTTTGTTCCAGGACGTACAAACACTGCAGCGAAGAATCAATCACAGATTTTTTTATTCGTCTCAACCAACCTGTTAAAAAAAAAAATTTGGTGCGATGCTGTAAGTAATCAAGAAAATAAATTGAGAGAAATTAGTCACTGTAGTGAGGATCACTTTGATGTACGTATCCATGCACAAGTATTTTGAAAGAATTTTTTGATTTTCTGATGATCCATAGTTACAGTAAAATTCAAGGTAACTTTAGTACTAATACGCCAAGTGTCAACAACTCTCTCACTAAACAAAAACAGTCTGCTGTCTGCTTCGAATGAAGCGTATTCCAATGAAGAACAATGACGTCTCAAAGCAAAGCCTGACGTCATTAATCGCAAGTCGAGTAAACCTTGAAAAAGTTCTTACGTCACTGTCACGTGATATCGATTTGAATGAGAGCTTGAGTAAAATGCTTGGAAAATATTTAATTTCTTGATCTACGCACTATTTAGTGGTGATTTTATAACTCATTCATGTTCAATTGACATTACGCTAGCGATATAAAGTATTAGTTGACGGAATCCTGATGCAAGTTTTCTAATGAGGATCAGTGGTTAGGGATTTTATTGATTCAGTAAGTAAACTAAACTACAGTGGAGGGAGCGCATAGAGTTACTGGAAATAAGCTGCTTGGGATTTAAGCGATTATAAAACATTATTTAAACATCATTAACTTAACTAAATTAATATTTTTATACTTAGTTTTTTTTCCCCGTAATAAAGGTCGTTTTAGATAACATGGAGAAAAAAAGTAAATGAAAGTAACTTTTATTGTTAATTAATACTACTTAATACTTGAGTTTTAAAATTTATAAAAAAAAAAGTAATAGTTATTCTAATCATTGTTTATTAACCGATTATTTATATTGCATCATAACATAAATCAAATAAAAAAAAATTATAACAAATAAAAATCGTTGCAGTCACTAGTTGTAGCAACCAATCTTGCAAACGAAAAAAATAACTAAGAAGTATTATAAAATTTTTATAATAACATTAATTTTTTTAAATAGCACTATTTTACACACACTACCCATCTAGGACTTGAACTTAAAAAAACTTAAATTTAATTAAAAATTCGTATAACCGCTCAAAAGTTACATGTTTTCACAGGATTTGGGACACACCACCCCTTCAATAAGTTTCATAACTTAAAAGGGCATTTAAATGATATTCCACAAAAAATACATTTGCTAAATTTTACTTTGATTTATGAAAAAGATGTTAATGAAAGCTGAATTCACTTACTCTGTACGTTTACGTTTTCAATACATCACTGCAAAAACTATCAATAGTATAAATACTGCGATGGGCGTTGGAAATGAAAAGACCTCCTCTGGACTTGATATATTTACGATAATAGTAAATTTACTACAGTAACTGTAATGTGCCATGATGGAGTGTTTTACTTTTGCAAGATACTTAAAACTCAAACAACAAATAGTTTTAACACGACTACTATTTCTATTAATAAAGTTTTAAATGATTATAAAAAAACATTTTATACACGTTTACTTTCTGTATTGAAGTTGTAAGTAAATAATCGTTTAGTAAATATAAATTCCTACATAAACTTCACAGTCAACATAGCAATATTACTACGAGATTTGAAAAACTGAACAATACAAGTAGTAAATTTACTAAACTTATCATAGTGAATTTACTATGCCGGGCGGTGGAAATAAAAAGACCAATCCATCCAATATAGTATAATTGCAATGGTTGGTATCTATTAATCTTTGGTTGGTATTTGGACAATTTTAGACATTGTAATTTACAACAATGTGGTACATATACACAAAACTTTTATTTACAGTATACTATGAAGCAAAAGGAAAAATAATATATATACTCCAAATTGTGACGAAAAATCGTAAAATACAAATATGTAACACACATACTTACAAGTCTTGCAACATTTATAATCCTGTAACCATCATGCCATAGATAATTGATAACTTTACACAGTGAGGGTCTGATCGTATTTTTTACTTTTAATGAATGTATTTAGTTAAACTGTTCATTCACAGTAAGTCTCAAATGCTGATCTAACAATTTATCAGTCGCATAAAATTTTGTCTTGAATACTATTCTAATAATACATAACAGTTAATGTCTCATTCTCAGATCTTTCTACAGTTTTTTTATGCACTAATAATGGTTAAAGTGAGCCTCAAAGTTAAATCACTTACATTTTACACATAGCACTTATCACGAGGATGCACTAATATGTTTCTAACTTAAAGTTATTTTTAGTACGTAGAACAATTCAGAAATAAGACTTTAAATGTTATCAACTTAAGAAGTTAACTTGAAAGTAAGCAATTAGTAATAATGAAGGATGAATGATACAGAGATGAAAAAACGAAGCATGTAGACTTAAATACCTAGCATAACTATTTTTCTATATTTATTAACTGTTGTTGATAATATGATTATTTTACTAAATTTGTTATCAATTATTGTTAGTTGTAAACAAATGAATTGATTTCCGCAGAAACACTCATTGACCACACCCAGTAAACAGAACAATCCCTACTACTTAATTCAGTGACGAGAAGTTGGCTTTGAACACAATAAAAACTTAATAGATAGGGACTACGCTCTGGTGCTGTGCAATTATGACCCGGACCCACAGCGATGAATATCGATACATCGATCTCTTAAGGGTCTAGCTTGGCAAGGGCCTTTCCGACAAGAATGCGATCCGAAGGCTAAGACCAGGGCCCAGAGCAGGGCCTCGCCAGGCTCGTCTTACATCAGGTGTAATCCGCTATCGCCGCCAGCAGTTGCATATGTAAGACGTGACAACGTTGCGTGGTTGGGGGCGCTACTTTCGATTTACTAGTGATGTGATCCGCAATCCCGCCAGCAGTAAAGCAGACGACGTCGGTCTACTTGCTCTTTTTCGTGACATCTTCTAATTGTAAACAAATCATACTGTGCTAGACGTAAACAAACACGCAGACCAAAAAAAATAGTTTCAAGTGTCAAAAAGAAAAATAGAAATAACAGCTTTACTGCTAGCGGGATTGCGCGGGATCACAGCAAAAATGTTACGAAAAAGAGCAAGTAGACCGACGTTGTCTGCTTTACTGCTGGCGGGATTGCGGATCACATCACCAGTGAATCGACAGTAGCACCCCCAAACACGCAACGTTGTCACACGTCTTACAAATGTAACTGCTGGCGGCGATTGTGGATTACCCCCATCAATGCCATCAGGGCCTGGACCATGATCAGCGTTGGGTTAGGTGGATTCAATATCGGAACTTCTTTCCTAGATCATATATATAGCTATAAGATCTAGGGAGAATGTTCCGTCCAGCAGACTGCACAGCAGTGAAGGGGCATAGACAAAGACGCACGAAAATTAAAAATTGTAATATTATAACACAAGTGCCTATCACCCAATGACCCGGGGCGCTAACTGGCCTCTCTATTAAATAATAAAGTATTAATTATTAACACAAGCGCCTATCACCCGATGACCCAGGGCGCCTACTGGCCTCTCTATTTAATAATAAAACATTAATTATTAACACAAACGCCTATCACCCAATGACCCTAGGCGCTAACTGGCCTCTCTATTAAATAATAAAGTATTAATTATTA